TCATGTGTGTTAATATTAAGTGAAACATGAATGTATAAAAAAGTTTCCAACTCTAATCTATTTTTGCCTCATTCCTTGCTTAGTTTTAAATTTCAAATCCAACAAAACACTTGACTTTTAAAAGTGTGAAAATCTGTATTTTCAACATCAGACATGCGCTTCAAACAGGATAGAATAGCCCATTTCTCCCAGGTCCTCACACTTAAAATTAAAACCCTGAACACAGCATAAAAATCAAGCATAGGAAGATACTGAAAGATGGAAATAAGAAGGTGGTCTTAGTAGGGACCTTTGGACTTGAGGAAAGACATGGCGATGACTTCTCTGTTTCCTATTGCTCCCCATATATCCTGCAGAGGGTACTGCAGGAGCCTCTGATCCATAACCACCAACAGAACAAGAGCCAAAAAAAAAAAAAAAAAAAAAAAGTGTCAAGAAAAACCTGGTCTCCTGAGGCAAAGTATGAGGAAAGGGGTTGCTAACAACAGAAAACCATTTTGGCAATACATACACTCCTCAAGCCAAATACCAACGGAAAAGTTGCATCTACCACCTATGCTTCCTGGTTTTAGTGGTACCAAGTGAGGACCAGTCTTCTATACTACCCCACTCCTGCTCTCCAAAAGCAGGCAGCACTCTGATTCTCTTTCCAGGGTTATTTCAGTGTGGTCCAGCAGTGAGCTGAACCTCAACCCCTATCCAACAGCAAAGAGACTTAAGAAGGTGGTACCTGACAGGGCTAGTTATCACTGGACTGCCCTCACACAGATTTAGGGTCCATTTTGGGAACTTACCCTCCACCTCTACTTGAAATCAATAGTACAGGATATTGCAAGTTGAAGCTAATAGTCACCCTACGTTACCCTGTCACCTGGTGTCAGTGAGATCCAGTAGGGTGCTGAGTGCCCATTTTCTTCCTGAAGCAATAAGATAGAATGAGGTGGCACAAAGCAGGGCTGGTTGCCAGTTCTCTTCCCACCCTGGTGTCAGCAGAGCTGAGCCTTTACCCACAACCAGCATCAATGGAAAGAGATGGTGTGAAGAAAGACAATTAACACCTCCTTTCCACCTCCCCTAGTGTCAGGGAACCTGCTTCAGAGCTGAAACTCCATCCCATTTACAGGCAACATGGTGATATGAATGGTCCTACTTTGGTGTTGTGGGGACAGGTATCAGCAGGGCAACAGGAGAGCTGAATTTCTATCACATCTGTCTGCAGTGAAACAATATGAATCAGTACCCACTTTTGCTGGAGTATTGTCGACAGGGCCAAGTGGAAAGCTGTACCTACCTATTCCCACCCCCCAGTCTTCATGTCACACCTCAATATAGGGGTCTTACTGCTTAAAATAATAATAATAAGATTAAATAAGATTCAGATTCATATAATACTCAAAATGTTGAAATAAAATTGAAAATTACTCATCAGGCCAAGACCAGGAAATCACAAAACAAATGAGAAAATACAAACAACATGCACCAACATCAAGATAAATAAGATGTTGGAATTATCTAAAAAGGATTTTAAGTAAGCTATCATGTAAATGTTTCAATAAGCAATTATATATTCCTTGAAATAAATGGGGGAAAAACAGAATATAAGCAAAGAACTGGAAATTATACCAATAAAAACAAATGAAAATAACAAAACTGGAAAAATAATAACCAAAATAAAAATCTTGTTAGATAGGCTTTAGAGTGGAGATGACAAAGCATAGAATCATGAACTTGAAAATAGATCAATATAATTAATCAGATCTGAGAAACAGAGAGAAAACCAGACTGGGAGATGGAGGTGAAGAAGCAAAAGAATCTGTAGAACAATAACAGAAGAGCTAACTAACATTCAGGGCGCATGGTGGCTTAGTTGATTAAGCATCTAACTTCGGCTCAGGTCATGATTTCCCAGTTTGGGGTTCAAGCTGCAAGTGGGCTCTGTGCTGCCAGCCCAGAGCCTGGAGCCTACCCATGATTTCTGTGTCTCCCTCTCTTTCTGCCCCTCCCCTGCTCGTTCTCTCTCTCTCTCTCTCTCTAGTGCGCGCACTCTCTCTCTCTCTCTCTCTAGCTCTCTCAAAAATAAATAAACATTAAAAAAGAGCTTACATTCATATTACCAAAGTCCCAGAATGAAACAAGAGCAAGTAGGACTGACGGTATTCAAAGAAATAATGACTAAGAAGTACCCAAATTTGTAAAGACATAAATTTGAAGATTCAAGAACCTGAGAAACTGCAAATAGGATAAACACAAAGACATCCATGGCAAGACACATCGTAATTAAACTTACAAAAAATAAAGACAAAAAAAAAAATCTTGAAAGCAGACAAGGAAAAACAATGCATTACTTACAGAGAAACATCAGTTCCAATGACAGAATATTTCTAATCTGAAACTTGGAGCCAGAACATTGGCATAACATTTTTCAGGTACTGAAAGAAATGTCAGTCACAAATTCAGATATGCTATATTTACTTTCTTGTTTGATTTATATTAATGGATTACTAACTAATCTTTCTATATCCAGAATTGCCATCACCCTTCCCCAACAATCCAGCCACTGAAACAAAAAACAGGCAAATTTTTCTTACAAAAACATCTGATCATGTTATATAAATCAACTTTTCTCTCTTCTAACTTTAATTTTCCAGTTAAAATCCTTCAGTAGATTTACATCTTCCTTAGGATAAAATCTCACATTTTAACTGTAATAGTCTGTTTGCACTGCTATAACAAAATACTACACAGTGGGTGGCTTATGAACACAGAATTTTTTTTTTTTTCCTCTCATACTTCTGGGGGCTGGAAGTCCAAAATCAGGGCAGCATGGTTGTTTGAGGCTCTTTTCTGGGTTACAGATTTTTCATTGTATAAAGTGGCAGAAAGTGGTAGAGAGTTCTTTTACAAAATCACTAATCCCATTCAAAAGGGCTCCCCCTTCATGACCATATCACCCCCAAAGGCCCCACCCACTAATACCTTTACATTTGAGGACTAGGATTTCAACATATGAATTTGGGGAGAACACAACATTCATACCATGGCATTACTACATGGGCCATTCATGATCTGACTTCTAACTCTCTCTCCCTTTTCTTTTCTTATACTCCAGTGAGTACTCCTTATACTGATTGTATATGTAATTCCTTTGTGGCCTAATCCTTAAATATTCTTTTTCTTGCTACCATGAATTTCTCTTCTCTTTGCCTCAAAAATTCACCCCTCATTCATGATACATATCCATCTCACATATTGCCTTCTACAATAAACTGTGGTGATACTTCTCATATACCACTGTCCACAGCATGAATTAAGGCCCTTCTGTATCTTCCTATAACATGCTGTAATAATATGTATTATAATTATGGATTTACTTACCTGGATGTCCTAATGCATTGCATTCCAGATAGTAAGATAATGCTTTTAATAATGGTAACACTGGTGTCTAGTATACCTATGGCATATTTTAGGTGTTCAGTAAATGTTTGTTGAATGAATGAATGATCAACTTGAAATCTTAATCATTTCACTTTAAAAATATCAAAGATACCCAGTTTTCCAAAAAGACTGGGGACTTAGGATCTTAGACTTGATTTAATAAAGGACATTGTTGATATATTAGTGCTTATATTCCTCAAAGTAAAACCATTAGCCCAAGAACTTAAGTTTTCCACTTGGACTTTTAAGCTAGTCATTAATACCCCCATCCCCACTGTATCAGATGCTGTCAGTGCTCTTCTTCTGTCTCCCCAGCACTCATCATTGCAGTAAAGATTGACAGAATCATGCTGTCACCTGCAATTATCTACCCTGTGCAGGCCAGAAGTGTCTAAGAGTTCATGTATCTGGGTGTAGCTTTCAACCAAAAACACTACTGGGGTAACTCTGAATCACTCTCTGTAGCCTCACAGAACTCCCCTGAAGGACTAAGCAGGTCTCCCAGGAGTAATCTGTTGAGTAAAGCACCACCACTGGATTCCTCCCATGCCTCTATTCTCAGTTCCCACTCCACTTCTGAGTTTCCTGGGACTACCTCCCAGATAAACAGTTTGCTTTCAAATTCTCTTTCAAGTTCTGCTTCAATGAAATTCAGTCTCAAACAATTTATAGCCTCCTAATGATTCCCTAGTCCTTGCAGAGCCATCACTGTAAAAGTACCAAGGCATGTCACTCTTCCTAGATCCTAATATAAAGATAGGAAAGAACATGACTTTGAAGAGAAAAATGATTTATATAAGAATAGTCAATGGATAAAGGGAAGGTAAGAAAGATAGTACCATTTGTTTTCCATTAATGATGCTTTGGAATTTATCAGCAGATGGTCTGTAACAGGTGTGACTATAACTTGTGGAGATTACTTCCTCAGCCACTCAGAAAACTGCTATTATTATTATGGAAGCACAGCTTTAGGACTTTATTGCTTCACTTGTAGCCTTTTCTTTTATCCTAATATCTCTTTTTCTAAATCACTGACTAGCAGCCAATAGATTTATTCTCTCCCCACCACCTCATCACAAGAAAAGACGTATGTGCTACCCTGAGACACACTCTTATAAATCCATCAGTGTTTGAAAAGAAGAGTTGATGGTGCATGTGTGCAGTGAATATTATACATTAAAGTTCTCTTTGAAATATACTTCTGTATGTTCCTTTGTTTATGAATAATTTAGTCAAATTAATAATTTACTAAAGATCTATGTGAAGACTGAAGGAAGGAAGTAAATTTTAAAGAGACAGAAAACTTGTCTTTTTTGCCTTTTGTGTTGTAATGAACAAAAGATAACTGGACTTCTTTTTTTTTTCTTTGCTTGGCTTGAAGGCCCAAATTACAACCTAAACTCTTGTCATGTTTACTTGTGACTTTTCAAACTTATAAACTGGAATTCCCTTAAGTTATTATACTGCTTAGGAGCCCTAGGTTTGGACATTTACTTAAAATTAAAAAAAAACTGAGATCTCTAAATACAAATAAATGTTGCTTTCTCTTGCTGTCTCCATTTCAGTTTCCTGAGTTTCTGGAAGGCCTGGTTTCCCCAAAGGAGCAGTTTCTGGTAGAAGTCTGAAGGTCTGATCCAAGAAAAAACAAAATCAAGTATAGCCAATGAATTAAGGACAAGAAGGTTTCCAATCAGGTAGGAACGCTTAGTCTCACATTCAACCACCTCAGAAAAAGTATGCTGATGGCCTGATACGATAGACCCTACTTGGAATACGGTGAATATATAACACACAAGGAAGCTGTTTGCAATTCCCTAGATGGTTATGGTGTTTATCAGAGAGTACCTTGGAGAAAAATGAATACAATAACAGTATGATGCTTTTTTCCATTTTTAGCTCATTGTTGCCTAGTACATACAGTGATCTTGGTGACTGGTTTAATCCTAGGAGGTTAGTCAAGTGGAGCAGCAGATTAATCTTTTTGTTACTTTCTCCTAAGACAAATCATATTCTAGGTTGTCTTCATGATCTAGTTGCTTATCAAAATTAAGGGCTATGATGACAACAAGTCTAAGTCAGGAGCAGCTGCAGTCAATGGTGTGAAGAAATCAGCTTGGTTCTTGTTGGGCACATCTAGTTTTGGTCTTGGCAGAAAGTAAGTGCACATAGGGAGTTAAAAGGGAGGAAAATGGGGCATGGGAAAGGGGCCCTCATTTACCTATGCATGTCAAAATTGCACTAACCATTTTATTTTTCATTAGCAATTTGAGATTAAAACTTAAAGCAAAATGAATAACAAAGACATCTCATTGTATGGAAAGACTAAAGACAGTAGTGACGTCAAAATCAGGGCCTATTCATCTCATTAGCAGTTATATATTCAGCATTTACCACACCATTTGATCCGTACTCAGTACTTAATATAACATCCATGTTGAATGACTTATGGATGAATTAATGAGAAAAGTTAACGTGTTAGAAAATGTGTTTTATCCTTCTATTTCCTTATGTGTTGACTTATGTATTCTCAGGATCCAGTAGTGTAACTGACACTTTGCATATAAGCAATAAAATTTGTTGCAAGAAAGAATGAGTCTCCATGATTCTAAGGATAATTATAAGACCAACAAAGACCCCATATTTGTGAAGGTCTATGACTAAAGTATCCATGAGGTGAAAACCTAGATCTCACACTACTGGTATGGCTAGAATTTATCTAGTTAGTATAGTTGACACACAATGTTACATTCGTTTTAGGTGTACAACATAGTAATTCCACATCTCTCACCTATGCTCACCACAAGTGTAGCTATCATCAGTCACCATACAACACTATTACAATATCCTTGACAATATTCCCCATGCTGTGCTTTTTATCCCTGATTTACTCATTGTATAACTGGAAGCCTGTATCTCCCACTCCCCTTCACCCATTTTTCCCATTCCTCTACCCCCATTCCCTCTGGTAACTATCATTTTGTTCTTTGTATTTATAGTTTTGATTCTGGTTATTTCTTATTTATTAAACTTTTTTAGATTCTATGTATGAGTGAAATCATATGGTATTTGTCTCTATCAATCTGACTGATTTCTTTTTTTTTTAAAGGTATTACCTTTATACAGTTTTTTTTTAATATTTTTATTTATTTCTAGGAGAGAGAGAGAGCGAGACAGCGTGAGCAGGGGAGGGTCAGAGAGAGGGGGAGATACAGACTCTGAAATAGGCTCCAGGCTCTGAGCTGGCAGTCAGCACAGAGCCCGATGCGGGGCTCGAACCCACGAACCGCGAGATCATGACCTAAGCGAAAGTCGGACGCTTAATCGACTAAGCCACCCAGGCGCCCCCAATCTGACTGATTTCACTTAACATACCACCATCTAGACCCATCCATTTTGTGTCAAATAGCATGATCTTATCCTTTTTGATGATTGTGTAATATTCCTGTGTGTGTGTGTGTGTGTGTGTGTGTGTGTGTGTGTGTAGGTACCATATCTTTCTTATTCATTCATCTGTTGATGGATACTTAAGTTGCTTCCATAGCTTGATTATTGTAAATAATGCTGCAATAGACATAGGGTGCATATCTTTTCAAATTAGTGTTTCTGTTTTTGCTTTTTAAATAAATACCCAGTAGTGGAATTATTGGATGGTATGGTATTTCTATTTTTAACTTTTTAAGGAAACTCCATACTGTTTTCCATTGTGGCTGTACCAATTTACATTCCCACCAACACTTAACAAGGGTTCCTTTTTTTCCACATACTCACCAACACTTGTTATTTCTTGTCTTTGATTTTAGTTATTCCAACAGGTGTAAGGTGATAGCTCATTTTGGTTTTAATTTACATTTCCCTGATTATGACATTGAGCATCTTTTCATATATCTGTTGTCCATCTGTATGTCTTCTTTGGAAAAATGTCTATTTAGTCCTCTGCCAGTTTTTTGATTGGACTGTTTTTTTGGGTGTTTTTGTTTTTTTGTTTTTGTTTTTTTTAGTATTGGGTTAAACAAGTTCTTTATATTTGGATATTAACCCCTTATTGGATATATCATTTCCAAATATCTTCTCCATTCAGTAGGCTGCCTATTTGTTTTATTAATGGTTTCCTTCATCATACACATCGTGCAAAACCTTTTTATTTTGATGTAGTTCCAGGAGTTTATTTATGCTTTTGTTCCCTTGCCTAAGGAAACATATCTAGAAAAATGTTGCTGCAGCTGATGTCAATGAAATTACTGCCTCTCTTATAGGATTTTTACGGTTTCAGATCTCACATTTAGGTCTGTAATCCATTTTGAGTTTATTTTTGTGTATGGTATAAGAAAGTGGTCTGATTTTATTCTTTTGCATGTAGCTGTTCAGTGTTCTCAGCATCATGTATTGAAAAAGACTATCTTTTTCCCATTATATATTCTTGCTCCTTTGTCATAGATTAATTAACCAAATAACTGGGTTTATTTCTGGGCTCTCTCTTCTGTTCCATTGATCTATGTGTCTATTTTTGTGCCAGTACCATTCTGTTTTGATTACTACAGCTTTGTAGAGAATTTATCTAGTTTAAATCATTAACATATCATCCTATTACATTTAGGCATAATACTTACATTAGACATATTATTAAATGACTCAAATATGGACAGAAAATCCCCAGAAAAGTTTCTGTGCCATAATATTTGCAAAACATGATTTCTGGAGCATTTTTATAATGACAAAGGTAAGGGCAATTTCAAAATCACTACCTTCTAAAATCGGTATTTATATTTTTCCACAGGTAGGTAGAATAGTCATAGTACTGAGTCAGTGGCTATTTCTCTGTAATCTGCTATTGGTATCTTCTGCATTTCCAAGGGACAAGTAAATTTTAACATAATGCAATTTCCATAAAACCGCATGTACTCTCTCTCTCTCTCTCTGTCTCTCAGATATGAAGATGAAGTAACCATCTAAAATACCTTGGAACTCATTGCAAAGTAAGAGGAAAGTCACTTGTATTTGATCATTTTATTTTTTTATTAATATAGGATACTCCAGTGTTACTTATTAATAAAATCTAAGTTTCTAGATGGGGAAATAGCTTTGTAATATTTTTGTCTTTGTAAGTACTTATCAATAATGTATCATATTACCTCCCCCGCATCTTTTTTCTGTATTCTCTTGAGGCAGGAGATGTAGTTATCAGTTGTTTTTAACATTCCTTGGCAGCCACAGTACTTGTATCACTTAATTAACGACAATAAATTGTCCCAAAGTATGATGTCTCTTTATGGAAAATAAAGTCCTCATGTGAAGAGGGAAAACTTCCATAGCAGAAAGATTTCAACTGTAAAAGATTAATGAGTAAAATATGTATATTGTGTCAAAGTAGACTCCCTTTTCTATAATTAATGACTAGAGATCATCTTTGGCATATTGGGGATTTAAATTTTAAAAATGCTATTATATAATAATACATGCAAAAGAATATATTCAAATATATTAAGTTATGAGATATAATTATAAAGTAAACTCCTGAATATGCACCACTAAAACTAAGAACTAGAATAAAAACTGCTGAATCAATTTGCTCTTCCCTGATCCCACATGCCAGCTTTCAACAAAGAAATAACTCTGATATTGGCTTTATGTTCAACATTCACTTAATTTTTATGTATTTTTTTTTACTATATATACAATTATGCTTATTATTGACCTTTATAAAATTGATTTCATATTTTATGTAGTCTTCTGTGCTTCCTTATTTTCACTCAACATTATTTTTCTAAGGTTCATCCACATTGTATTAGTGTACATTAATTTTCACTACTGTATGTCATTGTGAATATAAGAAAATGTGTTTATTTATTACTCTATTGATGCTATTTGGATTGCTTTGGACATATGAACACTGCTTCCATGAACATATATTTTACTGTTTCCTAGTACACATGTTTAAGATTTATTTTAACCATAGTTAAGTAAAAGTAGAATTGCTAAGTCATAGGGAATTAAAATATTCAACTCTAAGGAAAATGACAATATGTTTTCCCAAGTTATGAAATCAATTGGAAGTCCTTTTTTCTATATCTCATAGTTAGAATGGCCAATCTCATTGGTATAAAATCTCATTTGGTCTTAGTATTAGTCTGCTATTGTTGCCCTAACAAAATCCGACTGATGGAAGGCTTAAAAGACAGAAATTTCACAGTTTTCACAGTTCTGGAGGTTTGGAGTCCAGTATCAGGGTGTTGGTCAGTTTGGTTTCTCCTGAGTCCTCTTTCTTTGGTTTGCAGATGACTATTACCTTCTCACTGTGTCCTCATTCGGCCTTTTTACTTCGGTCCTTCTTTTCATAAGGACACCAGTCAGATTAGGGCCTCTGTTATGATTCCTTTTAATCATAATTACCTTTTAAAAGGCCATATCTTCAAATACAGCCACAATGGGAGTTTGGACTTCAACATATGAATTTTAGAGACTACAATTCCATCTAAAACAGTTTTAATTTGTGCTTCCTTAATTACCAGTAGGTTTAGAATCCTTTCATTTGTTTGTTACTATGTTTCCTATTCTGTGAAATTCCAGAGACTATCTTTGGTCCATTTTTGGATTATCTTTTTCTTATTAGCTTCTTTTTATTCTTTAAATACAAATTAATTCCCCTTATCAACTATACATGGTACAAATAGGTTATGTCTTCTCATTTTTTTTATCT